CGCCCCCTACTGGGGACCTGGCCTGCAACCCAGGCATGTACTCGGACTGGGAATCAAACCAGCGACCCTGTGGTTTGCAGGTCAGCACTCAGTCCACTGAGCCACACCAGCCAGGGCTTTTTTTTTTTAAGGTTTTATTTGCTCCCTTTTTAACTGGACTGTTTGTTCTCTGCCTGTTGACTTTTATGAGTTCTTTATATATTTTGAATATCAACCCCTGACCAGATATGTGATTCTCAAATATTTTCTCCCATTTCACAGGTTGTTTTTTCATTTTGTTGACAGTTTCAAGCAACAACCTGAAATAAATTTGTAGCCATAAAATTTCCTGTTTTCATAAAACCATTCAAGCCTGTCAATTTTTAGTCCAGCAGGGGCTCAAATGATCAAGAAAGAATTTGCTTTTCTGTCACAGAACACAAATTCTCTGGAAGCCCAGAAGGAATGATTTCGCACACTCTGGTTTTTTGTTATGGCTACTTCAAGGGTTGCAATACAAACTCCTAAAGAAAAGAGCATAGTTTCCCTCCTAAAAACCTTAAAATAACAAGAGTGTGAGCAGCAGGGACATCATTCAGCAGATGCTGTGCTTATTCTTCAAGCGAGACGCGTGAGCCTCGGAGGAAGGAGGACCCAGGCTCCAAAAGCCAACCACAGAGCCCAACGCCAAAAAACCCACCTCGTTCCCACTCCAGGGCAGTTCAGGATGGTTTCTCTTCTGTCACAAGATTTTTAGTTCTCTTTCAAGTTTGTCAGCCTCCACACACGAGAGAGTGGAGTGCCGAGGAAAGTGTGCAGGCCACATTTGCCAAACTGTGCAGCGGAGGCCCAGTGGCTGGTGGGCCAGGTGCTGGTCCGACCTTGTCCTTCGCCTTCTCTTTGACCCTGGCCGATTGCCCCCACCAGTCAGAAACAGACCCGACACCGAAGATGACTTCCGTCCTGACTCCCACACAAAGGATACTTTTTAAAAGCTGCATAGCCTATGAAGAGGATTTTAACTGCTCTCCCAGAGGCTGCATCAGAATCACCGAGGGTGGTTTTATTTCTTTCTCCTAAATATGGGCATTCACCGGGGCATTCACCGCACCTCCCTCCAAACAGGCGCAGTCCCTGCTGTGGATAAGCACCCACTCCTTGGTGAGACGACTGGGTGCGTGTGACAGAACTTCTATGTGATGCCCAGTTCCCCGCACTGGGTCTGCACTAGTGTCCCTCCCACCATGTCCCAGGGCTCCCGGCTCATGTGGAAACCAGGAGCAGGGGTCGGTCCCCACTCTGCCACCTCAGGGCCAGGTCACCTCACCTTCTACCCGCCCTACAGTCAGTGCCAGCATTTGGGGTGTTGGAAAGGCCAGGAAGACAACAGGGCAGGGGCGGGTTGAGAATGCAAAGCACCGAATGTAATTCATTAGCATTATGAGTAATAATCTCATCCACCATGAGCGCTAATGTGGTACAGCACGGGGTCTGGGGATGGAAGGAGGCTGAATGTGAAACAGTGACAAGTAAATGATGCCCTGCTTTAGGAGAAAAAAGCTCCTACTTCTCGCTCTATGAAAGAGAAAACTATCGAAATTAAGGACAGGAGTGAGTTGCAGGTAGGCTGCTCTCTGAGACACACATGTGGAGGTCGACTCGTCACAACTTTGTCACAGGGGTGACCGTTTTCTTTCCAAAAGGGACTGTGAGCACCAGGACTTTCCATTGGGTGGGCCAGAAAGTGTTAGTTTTTCCATAAAATAAAAGACACATGTTTCATTTTCACTACTAACTTCTCTAATTTGGATATTTTGAATGTGTCAGCCATCTCCTGCTATTGGCTTCTAGTGGGTAGAGGCCAGGGGTGCTGCTAAACATCTTCTAGTGCATAAGACAGCCCCACAGCAGAGAATTATGTGGCCAAAATGTCAACAGGACCAAGAAACTTTGCAGAACATTTTTGAGCACCTTCTCATACACAGCACAAATCTTTTTCTTTGTGTGCATTTCAGTTATGTTTCTACCTTTCTTGAAATAATAAAGCATAACATCCTGAACGTGTTGTGTATTTTTTTCCATCTTAAGACGATACCAGCATGGACCAGGCTGTGATGACGGACAGCAGCAGCCTGTAGGTGCTCTTGCAGTGACATCAGACCAAGCCAGTTGGGTTCCCTCAAGGACGTGCTGCTGTCTTTTGTCAAGATGTCACACACTACTTTCAAGGACAACTTTATGAGTTTTCAGATATTAATAGATCTGAAAAACAAATAATTACATCAATGCCTACACAGACATGTTGGGGTTGTTTGATATTCTTGTAGTATTTTAAGGCCTTTACGTAATCGGATTAAGCAACATGAACACATAAGTCCAGAGCTAAAGGCCACCGTCATACCCAGAAAGAGACCAGCATTAGCAAACAAATTAATTCCTGGGTAAACCAGAGAGCAAGCAGTTAAGGCTTTGATCAAAGGCTTATTATTGTCAAACCGTCCCCCAGTTAAATTAAAGACGGATCTCCCGGAACGAATCCCTGGCAACGTCACACCGCCTCCCTCACGGCCAAGCGACCCACAGAAGGAAACCCGCCCTCGAAGCTGCTGACTTGCCAAGGGAGAAAAAGCACACTGTGAGAGCATGGGGGGTGGGGGGACTGACGCCCCGTTTTGAGAGTTTGCCGTTTTCCCCTTTCGTGACTTTGGGTAAATGACTTCAGCACCTTTGAGCAGAGTGCTGCCTTTCCTGCACTATAAAAGTGGCTATTATGTCTATCGATCATGCAGAAGTGCCACAGGGCTTAATTTATTAGTTAATGTTTGCATTGCATTCTGCAGCTCTCAGACAGAACGTGTTATAGAAACACAAAGCAGCAATGTATTATCTAAACATCTGCCTCTTCGAATAGCTCTCTAGAAAGTGTGCATTGTTTCAGCACAAATGATTCCTCCAGAAACGGATGATTTTGTCCAGGTCTTTCTTGGCCATAGATCATCTCCCCCTCCCTTCAGTTCGCAGACTCTCCGTGCGGCTGTGGTTTCCATCTCATCCCTGGAACGGTCACTGTGCACACTGCTCGCTTGTGTGAGCGTGGCAGTCACACTGCCCTTCCCCTCACCACCTCTGCTCTCTGCGTTCTTCACTCCCCAAAGCTCTGACAATCTGGCTTTTCCCATGATGCATCGTTTTCCACCTGGCCATGTTACTGCTCACCCAAGGGCTCGGTGTTTTCAAATTTGGTAGTAAAAACAGAGATTACTTAAAGGGTTCTTGAAAGTAAAAGAAAATGTGAAAAAAAAATCTAGAATGGTCCAAGTTTGAACATGTTCTGATGACATTAACTGATGAGTTGTTAAAGATTATACTGAAGATTATTTCTGCTACTCTTAATGCTGTTCGTAATTTTGTTGAAACTCTGGCAAGTACCCCAAGAGCACATGGATATTTATTCCTACAGAAACCCCAGTCCCAAAATGTATCTACTTGGATTTAAGTAACTTCTTTTCCAAATATAAATAGACAAAGAAAATGAATAATAAATTATGTTAACATAGCTTTCAAAGGTTTCCTCTTCCTGAATTTTTACTTCCACTTCAATTTTGAGAGTATTTTTCATTGCTTATTATTCTTCAGTGCTATTGCTTGTGGTTATGTGAGTACCTTAAAACGTGCCCAGGATTTTTTAATTAGGTAGTAAGATGGATATTTCCGATATACCATACGTGACCTTTTCTGTCTGGCTTCTTTCACTTAGTTTTCCAGATGTTCCCAGGTTCATTTAATGCTGTGATATTTATCAGTCCTTCATTAATTTTCACAAATAATATTCCACTGTATAGATGTATTACCTTTCGTTTATCCATTCATCAGTTGATGGGTTTTGGGGTTGTTGCTACTTTTTGGTTACTATGAATAATGCTGTTATGAACATTCACGTGGAAGTTTTTGTGTGTACACGTTATTTTTAATACTTTGGGTATATACCTCGGAGTAAAAATGCTGTCACATGGTAGCTGTACATTGTACCTTTGGAGGAACTGCCCAATTGCTTGTCCCAAAGCAGCTGCACCATTTTTATAATCCCACCAACAGTGTATGAGGTTCCGATTTTTCAAGTCAACACATTTTTTAATTTAAGCCATCACAGTGGCTATAAAGTGCTAACTCATGGTTTGTGGTTCCCTGGTGCCTAATGATGTTGAGAATTTTTATGTGCTTAGTGGTCATTTGTATATTTTCTTTGGAAAAATATCTGTTCCATTATTTTGACCATTTTTTAAACTGGGGTGTCTTTTATTGATGAGCTAGGAGTTCTTCACATATTTTGGATACAACTCTCTTATCAGATACATGATTTATAAAAATCTTCTCCCATTCTGTGGATTGTCTTTCTACTTCAACTAAGTCCTCTGATGCACAAAACATTTTAATTTTGATTAAGTCCAGTTCATCAATCTTTTTCTTTTTTGCTTGCATTTTTTGGGTATTGTACTTAAGAAATCATTGACTAATCCAAGGTCTCAAAGATTTACTGTTTTCTTCTAAGAATTCTATAGTTTTAGCTCCTGGATACAATGTGAGTTAATTTTTGTATACCATGTAAGGTAAGGGTCCAACTTTATCTTTTGCATGTGGATATCTAGTTCCAACTGTGTTTGTTGAACACAATGATTTTCCCATGAATATTGTACCCTTGCCAAAGGCGATGTGTGTTACAGTTGTAACTATGTTTATTCATAACAGCTCACAATTGATGGCATGTTAGATTTGATGAAAGTATGGTACACCTAACTCCTGAAAAAAAGCCATATAAATGTGCACTTTCTTTTTTCGTGAAGTGGAAAATCTATTTGTCTCAATAATACTAACATTCCTTAAATATCAATGTGGTGGGAAAAACGTATCATAAATACATGTTTTCTTATCATTAGTTTAAGACTTGAAGGTTTACACATGCACACTCCCTGTTGTTAAATGTGAATGAAGACTGTCACCACAGAAGTAGCAATATGAGTTTAATGATCAGATAGAAAAATCCATGAATTCTACAAGCCAGGTGAGGATCACTGGGAAGTTAATTTGACAGTGACGTAATGTCACAAGAAATAGTAGTATAAGCACCAATGAAGTTTTTTGAATAAGAAAATTAAGGAGATTTTTCAGTATCCAGACTTTAATATGTATGCATTGTATGGAATATAAAACAAGAATAAGCTTAATTGTTTGGGATCAACTTGGAAGTTTGACAAATGCAAAAACTCAAGTCTACTTTCGTGTTAACTTCCTGCTGGACGTCCTGATGAACTCATGAGAGCCACAGAGTCTGAAGACAACCACTCATAAACATACTGAGATCTGTTTAATAGTTTTTGAAGATTTTTTCCTGTAAAATGGCTTGTATTTCCACAGGTACAATAGTGAAGAAATAACTTTTCAATTCGACATGAAATATAAAAGAACAGTTTTACAAATATAGCCATACAATTTAACCACTCATAACACTATACATGGTAAATATGACCACCCCTTCACTTTCAGCCTATTTAACACACAGAAGGAATCTGTCACCTCAGCTTTAAAAGAAAAAACAACTTCCCTTTCACGGAGCTTATTTTGTTTAAAAGTAGTTAAACAGAACTGGAAAAATATTTGCTTTTCCCTATCTTTCTCTAGGGATTGTTCATGAGGGCTGAAATTTACTTGAGAGGATATAAGTTTCATAAAAAAGAAATACGGAAACTTCTTGTTTTACTACTTCAATAATTCTTACATTCTTTTCAAAAGATCCTCAAGTGTTCTCATTAGCCTTTGACCAGGTCATAAGGGAAGGCTCGTGCTTCCAGCACCGAAGGAGGAACTTCATACCCTCCGCCCACGAAGGGCGGCACCGTGGGCACACAAGATTGACAGGCAAGAGAATGGAGCTGGGCCTGGCCTAACCTCCAGGTTCTGCGGTTTGTCTGGCAGAAATCCCTCTGTCACCAGGCAGGACTGCATGAAGACAACTAGGGGTTAGCCAGCTTTCACGGCGATGTGATCACAGCCTTCATGCACACCCAGAGAACTGGATGGCTTAAAGAAAAAGAAGTTAATCAAAATCACAGAAGGGCATGTAATAATTCTGTAACCCATGTTACCCTTCAATTAAGAAGGCAAATGTTTTCCTTAAACTCTTAAAAGTGCCCAAACAACAATACTGAGCTCCCACATAACGGGGGTTTGAGTTTTTCTATGTACGCAAAATAAAGTATTGAAACTTTATGAAGAGTGCTCCTCAACTTTCCTGATCAGTATATGCAATAACTTAAAACAGTTTCCCTACTGACGCCAGAAATAAATTCCACTACACTCATGCGTATGCCGGTTCCTGGCACATTTCTGCATCCAGATTCATTAGTCTCCTTAATGGAGCCCGTCATTTTTCCAATGGCTTTCTCCTTTCCTAAACCCTAACCCTGAAATTCTATAACCAGTTACATCACATGGCTTCCCTGAGGCACAAAGGTACCAGACTCTATAATTAACTATCAAGGAATGATAAATATGCTCTCTATTTATATTAAAAGATTTTAATTCTTTTGGGCCACAGTGGGGGGAAAAAAACCCAGAAAGCTTAATACTTATTCTGCAGTGTGAACTGTAGCCCTTTTTGCAAAAAGCATAACCAAATAAGGGAAATGTGAAGAGTTGCAGCATGCAGGACCTGGCAGCACCAAGTATTAATAAAAAAATTCCAGACTAGAAAAATATTGAGTTGTATCCCATTCATTCTGAATCTTTTTTTTAGTAAACAACTGAAAAAAATATCTATGGGAATACATCTCTGGGACCGAACTTCTAGAAACCTATTCACAAAAGGCATTTCAGTCAGGCCGAGCTCAGGATAATGGTGAGTAATTTCCTATGAACACACGTGGGGGAGGGAGACTCACCCTTTCATGTGATGCGAGACGTAACAAAAGTGACAACCTTTGAGAAGTTACCTTTTCTGAACTCTATTACTCCGCTTTGAGAAAACCTTTGAGAAGTTACCTTTTCTGAACTCTATTACTCTGCTTTGGTGAGCTAGAGTTCTTTATTCTTACACACTAACTTGCTCTCAACTCAAAAAGAAATCTCAATAGCCTGAACTGTACAGGGATCTGACTAGATGTGGACAAGAGGAGCGTGGTGTCCTTGCTGCAGACTTGCCCCCCCTGCGGTTTCTTAGGCAGGGTGGGAGGGGACCTCACATGGAGGTCAGAGGACAAGACGCGGCACTGACAGAGGGCGGCTCACTGGTACCCCTTCCAAGACTTTAGAATTTATTACCCATGTTTCCACTTTTTAGCTATCTGACTTTGCTAAAAGTCAGAAACTTTTCAGGTTGGAAGATTATTTTATTTGGGGACATTTGTTGTATGCAGTACTGCTAGACTTATATACACTTCTTGAAATGGAAAATTGTATCAGACCATATTTCTGGAAAAAAAAATTGATACGTAAAATACAGCCTTTCTGTGTGCAAGACCATTTGTGCTTTTAGGGTGTCCAGAGTCCTCAAACCACCTTCTGCAGCAAGATAAGGGACCGTGTGCCTCCTCAATCAGTTTATGGAGCCCAAAGAATCCAGACTGAAAGGACACACTCTGTCAATGAAAGCTGAACACTGGAGACTCTGTCTGGCTAAATCAGAAGGCATGTGATGTATCATTTAGGCAATTCCATTGCTTCCTCTCTGTCTGCAGGGAGAGCACGCTTCACAGAGCAGAGTAAGCTATCAGAGGATGGTTGGTGGATTTTCACATCACTCCAAACCTACTAAAACAAAACACCTCCTTCCAAACAGTAATTTCCATAAAAAAGGAAAGCTATTTTGCAGCTGAGAGGATTAACTTTTTGTATATTAAGTCAAATTAAGCAGCAGCAGTCAAGCGTAATATATTTTACCACTTTAAGGAAAAGGACATTCAAAAATGGGCTAGAACAATTGAAAATAGGTAAAATATTTGCCAGTAGGCAAAACAGGAAAAAACCAATTCAAGTATGGATATCGTATATTAGAACCATATAAATTAGACAGCTTTACAAAAGTTAAGGGAAGTGTAGCACACATGTGCAATGGTCAATTAAGAGGATGTCTGTTTAAATAAATACTCGTTCCAAGTGGCAGGGATCTGTTTCATCTCTGCCAGCTTTGTCCTAAAGGGTCTTCCCATTCTGGGAGCAGTGATACACTGGTACCACACAGAATGAGCATCCAGGAATTATTATTCCAAATGAAATGAAACTAACAGAGAGGGATGGAGGAGCTCATCTGAAATTCTGATTTAATTAATCCGTAGTAAACACTCATTTGCGCTCTTTAAATCAGGAATTTCCAATGATCTCTGCAGATGCACTGCTTGGTGCTGTGTGTGTCTAATGATCCCATTTAAATGTGGCTTGATTTGCAAACATTCTCAAGACTTCCAGCTCACAGGCTGTGAGGGAAGGAGCCAGATGGCGGAGAGGGAGTGGATAAACACGCCCAAGTCACTGTGATATGTCGCTCTCGGGCTCACAGAATTTTGGCTTTCTTAAGGAAAAAGAATTATGAAACCCCAACAAGTGTTTTTAAAAAGTAAAACCTCACTTTTAATCGCTCTTAAATCTTAAACAGTTTGGTAAGCAAGTCAACTTGCCGTCAGAGTACCTAGGCTGTGTTTCCCGCTGCAATGATCACCGACGGTGAGAGAGTTTCTAAGCGAGGCTACCTTTTAATCAACCAAACAGTCCTGGCCCTGCACGATGAGTATCAGGACGAAACATACTAGACAGAAATAACAAAAGGCAGACTAAAAAGTTAGGGAAAATTCTTTGTTTGAAGTGCCAAGGTATTTGGTGAATGTGTATATAAAATAATTAAATTCCACCCACATAAATAGAAAAAAAAAACAGGACAACATATGAATATTTTCTCCCCTCAAACAAAAGAAATCAAAAAAGAAGCTTCCGATTTCAAAACCACAGCCCATGCCTAAGGTCCCTTGCCCACCACTGCATTTTACAGAGCCACCCCTTTGGTGTCTGGTTAGGTGATCGCTGGCACCAGGTGTTCCTGGATGTCACCTGTCCTTCAGGCAATACCTACACCCTGCAGCGAGGGAGGTGGTGTATTGTGAGCCAACAACTTTTGAATACAGTTCTTCATTTGTAAAATATGATTTAAAGTGTTACCCAAAGCTACAAAGGAAAACAAAAGTTTATAAACCCAAGGTTAAAATAAAAGCATGGTGTTTTAAATTCAATTATTACAAAGATAATGTGGTTTAATCAAGCAGACTTCAATGACGATGCTGCTGTTCTGAGCATGCAACACACCACTGACATCTGTTAATTCCCAGCATGTTTCATTGCTATGTTCCCTCTCTCCTCCCAGCCTTGCCCCCCCACCCCTTAATAAACAGCATTATAAAAAGGTAAAATCGAAAGTTAGTGGCAAAAATCTTCACAGTAACTTGTTAATAAAGTCGCAGATGGCTGTCAAGGGCATCAGTCAACTGGACCCTGGAAAATTAATTTGATGCAGTTCTGCTCCCCAACCAGCTGAGTGGCGCAGAAAGGGCAGGCAGCGTGAAACGCGTGAGTTCCGTGAGGCAGCGGGATCTGAGACCAGTATTTTGCAGACTTCTCCGAGCACACGTGTCCACAGGGGGTGAAAGCGTGCGTGGGCGGTCCCGCGTCTACATAAAAACCGGCCTCGCAGCCGAGCCACAGAGGCACGTAGGGGCCCACAGTCCTGCACATGGGACACTCCCTCTCGTTGGCCTCCGTGTCGCTCCGGTGGCCCCAGTTGTGGTACCCGTGCACGTGGCCGCAGCTGAGGTAGGCCCAGGGCTGCTTCTCCTCCACCACTTCCTTCCGGTTGATGCTGGGGAAGGCCAGGGTGTTGAGCCCCACGGGGCACTGCGGCCGGGCCGCGTTGATCTCCTGCCGCAGGGCTTCTATGTGTTTCTGCGTCGGAGCGTGGAAAAGCCCGTCTGCCGTCCTCCAGAGAAGGGTGGCCCCGCACAGGTCAATGAGGGAGCCATCCTGCAAGACGTTGGTCTCAGTTTCCACCTGGAACAAGTTCGGTGGACAGGCATTTAGAAGCAAGCGAAATTCGGCAAATGGCTGACATTCTTTCCTCTCAAAATGAACAGGTCCCCTTTGAAGTTAAGCTCAGGGAGGCAGTTTATCGCACCAAAGATGGGTCTGGGGAAGTAACTGTGCCCCCGAACCTCAGTTTTTTCAACTCAGCACTGGATACAACACACACACACACACACACACTACAGGAGCAAAGCCCTAAGTGCAATCTACCTAGCCGAGTGTTCAGTTAACGTAGCAGCAACTTCAATGAGCACCAATCTCGGATTGTTACTTCCCTTCCTCCAGTCAGCAACACAGTTGCTCTCTGCTGACGTCGGGGGCGGGAGACGTCCTACCAGTGCACCCAGTGAAGACCACGCTCGCTTCCCACAGTCAACCTGGAAGACCCCAGGGGGCCCTGTGGTCACCACTGCAGTGGTCCCCACGGCTCCCGCTGACCCCTGGCTCCCAATGATGCCTTTTATCCTGCATTTGCAGCGCCTGGGGCAGAAGTGCTCCGTGGGAGTCTCCATTTCTGAGAGGACGGCTGGGCTGAGCACCAGGCACGCACAGGCTGAGGAAGAGCCGACAGGGGGCACAGGCGGCAGAGCAGGAATCTGACCGCAGTCTCCACGTGCAGCAGCACGTGCGCCAAGCCCTGCGGCGTGAGACCAATAGCCACGCCCCCAACCCCGAAGAGCCCCGTTCCTTAGCAGTGGGAGCCAGCCAGGCCCGCCTGAAGGTTACCAGGTGTCGCAAGTGCTGTCTGTGTGCGCCCCGCCCCCTTCACCTCAGTGGCTAGGAGCGTGGACTCTGGAGCCTGGGTCTGAACTCCCGCTCTGTCACTTCCCGCCCTGAGACCTGGGGCAGTTAAAGTCCTGGCCTATCAATTTCCTCCTCTGTAAAATGTAGATAGATAAGGGATTGTAAGTGTTAAAAAGTTAATACAAATAAAATGCTTGGAATAGTGTCTGGAACACAAGAAGCGCTGTGTAAATGTTTGCTGCTGTGACTTTGATGATGACAAAGTCAGATACTGTTTTTAACGGGTTTTCCTTGAACAGACATTTGAAAAAGGTACTGTCCGGAGCCAGCAGGTAGGACAGGAGACACGCCAGGAGGAGGCACGAAAAGCCCACCGCCACATGCACTGAGGGAACAAGGAGCTCAACAAGGTTCCACAGATGGCTGGACGGCGTGCAGGGTGTGGGGGCAGGACAGGAGGCCCAGGCTGGGGAGGGTGCTTGGCCTCGGTACCCAAAGGGAGTCAACAGGGAGTTTTATGAAGCTATGAAAGAATGGATTTGCCTTTCCTAAGGTCCCTTCCAGAGCTGGATACAGACTAGAGGTAGGAAACAGTGAATTCTCTCTCCAGGCCAAGAGGGTGGGTATGGTGCAGCAAAGACAGTATCAGTGACAACAGACAAGGGGCATAGGTATCAAATGTGGAGGAATTAGACTCACAGCTCTTAGCTCCTAATTTAGGGAGAAAGACTTTTACGCACCTGCCTCCACTCACTGTCTACCAAAATGGGGTTTTCCATGGACTGGAAACCGAGCAGAAGTGGCAGATTTGGGGGGAAGGAGAGTGAGGTCAGTTTGGGGTGTGTAGGGCCTGCGGGCTCTGCAGTGTCTGTACTGCGATGCACACAGGCACGTGGGACTGCAGCCTCTGAGACAGATGTGGCTCAGGGGACACCTGGGGTTTATCAGCATTGAGCTGAAGTCCTGCGGTGGACGACAGTGCCGCTCATCAGGGTCCCTGGGAGGGCAGGGAGGATGGGGACAGAGCCAGGCCTCCCCCAACTAAGGTTGGGGTGCAGAAAAAGAGCCATGTAAGGGGAAGAGAGGTATGAGAAGATCAGAAATTGTCATTCTCTGGCTTAATGGGCTGTGCTGGTTCTCCACTGCTGTCAGGATGGATAAAGCCCAAACTTCTTACCATTCACGATATGGCCACTAGGCTTCTGTAGCTGGAGCTAACTGTGGGACAGGGCTGCCCCATGCTGAGTGCATGGGGTTCGAGCCTATGCATGCGTGAAGCCAGACTGCCCACAGGCATGCGCACGAGTGCCCTCTGAACAGAATTCTCTTTCACACCCACCCACGTCCACCCTGCAGTTCGGCGAACTCCCACTTGTCGTTCAGGTCTCACTGGGAGGTCACTGATTCAAGAATGTACAGCTACTACGTGGAAGAAGCAGGACTGGAAACTGTGGCCTGACTTCAAAACCATTAATATATTGTGGCTGCCCCAAGAGTAGCCTGTTTCCCTGCTTATTTTTTATTTCTTATGTGCTTTTTCCATCTCTCAATAAAACTTTTGAGAGTTTTCTGGCTTTTCTCCAGAATACAGTGTATTGGGGGCAGGATGATGAAGATACCACTGCGCAGAGGCAAGGGTTCAAATTTTCTTTTTTAAATTCTACAAAAACAACCGAAAACAGAGCAAGGCGAAGGCACAAGGGGCTGCAGGGCTGCAGGGCTGAGAGGCGGTGAGGGCCTAAGGGCCCCAGCACACCAGGCGGCTGCGCGTAGAGCAGGGAATTCAAATCCCCATCTGCCACTTATGAGCCGGTGACAGTCTTTTAAAGTCCGGTTTCCTCACCTGTAAATGGTGACAGCCACAACACTGACCATACTGGGTCGCTTTGAGCAACAGAGAATCAACATGAAGCACTTGGTACAGCCTACGTGTAGTGACACTATGGTTATTTCTGTAATTTCACCTAAAATGAAGTAGGTAAATCAACTTAACTGGATTTACCTAATTTTACACAAAGCCAATAGAGTTTAATAAAATACCTCAAACATAATTTGATAAAATACTCAGGAGTCTGCTGGAGCAGTATGGTAAGTGTTACCATGTTATCGCTGACCAGGTAAATGCGGAGGGCACAAGTCATAGTTCATTCGCCCATTTACTTACTCAAGGGTTAAGCTCCTGAAGAAAATATTGCCCCCGCATTGAATTATGTTGATCAAGTACAAAGTAGCAAGGGTGCATCATTTGCTGTGACAATGGGAAGCCGTGGTGATCCGTTAAAAACATAAGAGCATGCCGACTCACACTGCACTCACACTGAACTCACACTGAACGCCAAGTGTGATGTTAATACAAAACACCCTGCCAGGAGGCATCAGCTATCACTGTGACAAATACTCAGGACTCCTCGCTGGTCACTTTCGTCTCCACAGTTGCATATGAAATTACAAATGATATCTGCAGATAGAAATAATTTATAGAAGCTCCTATCAGCAACACGCACAGGACAAAGAGTCATACATCGGAAGGAAAGTGCAAAGAATCAGTGCTGGGTTTCATCCTGGACAGAGACAAGCTCCTCCAAGTGCACAAGAGGGGAGTGCAGGGCAGATGGGTCCCTTCTCCCCGACTCTGTCACCCACAAGCCCAAAGTCAAACTGACATAAACCCGGAAATCTCTATTGCTGCTGGCTGGGCCAATTGTATGCTATCATCAAATGGTACAGCATGTCACAGGAAAAATTTTAATTACTGTATATTTAGTACAATCCATTCATGCAAGCTATTTCTGGAGTAGCACCCCAGCTACTGCAGAGCACTGTACTCCAGAGCACTCCGTAGCACCGTGAACTTCCCCGGCATACTGCAGAAGTGTCAGCCTGGTCCCCCCACGTTTACCAGAGCGGCAAGGCACACACGCTGGGACGGGCCCTCCTGGACAGACAAGCCCTTGGGGCTGCTGCGTGTGCTTTACATCTGCCCAGGAGGCTAATGCTCTGGCAGCAACCGTCTCAGGTGAGAGCTGGGTGTGACTCCCCACAAGATGGTACGGAGCGGCGGCCAGGACAGTCCAGACCCAATCGGGAGACCTGAGTTTCAATCCAGTCTGGTGTCACCTTCCATCTCTGTGACACTGGGCAATATTTACCCTCTCCATACCACGCTTTCCTCATCCATATACTGGGGACAATTCCAGCCCCCTGACAAGGCTGCTGCGCAGGTTAAATTCCGAGCTGGTACACCCCTGAAATGCCAGCGCACCGCCAGTGCCCGGCAGCCTCTCCCTGACTTCCCACCATTCCCAGTAAAATGACTCACAGCCAGTTTGGCCAGCCGAGGCCGGGGCTGTGTGGTACCATCCGGTGATCGGAGACGGAGTTATCAGGAAAGATGCTCTCGCATTCTCTTCCCTATGTAAAGTCTCTTTCAAAATGTTTAGACCAAGTTTATGAAATTTGCTCAGCCTTTCTTAGAAAACACTTCTCATATCTACTCAGCCATGATGCTGCAAGGCTGGACCTTTGGCATCAAACAAAGAAACTATACCTTAGCTGAATAATGGTATGAAAGAGAAATTTAAACAATTCCCTAAAAATAAACAGCCAGTAGAGAACAGCAAGCCAGGATAGTGAAATAGTCCATCTTCTTTTTCCACCTTAAAAATATTTGGTTACCATCTTTCTCTCTGAAAAATGCTAGATCAATCGTCTATTTGCCTATATTTTTTCTATGGGAGTTTGGAAGCAAACATTTGTTCCCCGTTGTTCTAGCTTCTACCTAACAATTAATTAAAAGTACTGGAGTAGAAAATTTACTAAGAATGTTTGTGCACTGTGCCCCAGAACTACGGCAAGATCAGAAACCCAAAGCTTCTCATTTAAGGTATTATAATTATACTCCATAAAAGAGAAGGTTAAAAAACAAACTGCTTTAGGGCATTTGGGGTAAGTAGTAATAGTTCTAGGAAAATATTAGCATGCCAGGTCAATGTACTATATGAACTGTTTCATGTAAAAGGCCGTAACTACAATTTTGGTGAACTATATAGAAAATTATATATTAATTTCTTACTATAAAAATTTGAAAAGCTAATAATTAATTACCTTCTAGTTCTGGAAAGTCTAATAAATTATTCCGTAAATTACAATTTTCACTAGTCTTAAACTGTTTAGGATTTTTCCAAATTAGTAACGTTTTACACTAAAAATAAGTTTATTCTTCTTAAAGTAAGTGGAATTTTGTGGTGAGTGATATAATAAAAGATTATGCTCTTAAAGTTGTAAGGCACCAAAGATAATTTTCTTCCTCTGTGGGAAAAGAAAGCTTAATCGCTAACGAGACACGGCCGTTTCCCCCTCATGTGCAGCGGCTTGCCAAACCCTCCCGCCTGGCCGCTGGTGCCCAGCACACGAGCCCGTCAGAAGGGTCTGAATTCCGGGGGAGCAGAGGGCAGGCCCACAGTCAGGCTGTTGTAGTTGCATCTTCCACAGTGAGGTCTACTCACCAGCTTTCCCCTCTGCTGGGCCGACCTGGTTTCTCGCAAGGTGTACACATCCCCGCAGACAGAGATCTCCCGCCAGACCCCGGGCTGGGACTCCTCCGTGAAACCCCCTCTGGGATGCATCACCAGGACCCCGTTTGTGGTCAGCCCGTCCATGTGGCCATCAGGGTTTTTCCATTTTGCTGCCTTTTCCTGGAGATTAAGAAAAAACTATGTTCAGATCATGTTAAAAAATGAAGGGATTCTAGAATCTCTTTAAAATACTGCCTGGGAGCAGAGGGGAGGAAAGTGGTGAATTCTCATTTCTATTTAAAACTAAAAAATAGTCGGAACAATAAAATATGCAATTAATCCAACAATATGAAAGAAATGATAAAATGGATAAATAATTTATCTCCAGAGGCACATTATATTTATTTTGGGGGCTTAAAAAATAACCTGATGCCTGATTCTCCCCCTCAGAGGTGCTATTTCACATCCCCCACCATCAGTGATTCCAGAATCTCGTGTGTATTCTTCAGTTTATTTGGGCAGCGCCTTCAGCGTACTATCTACAGATGCTTTGCATGAACCCATTATCAGGGAAATGTGCAGAGGAAGGAAAACATTTCCATTAAACATACAAAATTTCAGCATGTGTGAAGCCAACAATTTGTGGCCACTGTATTTGCATATGAATTGGTACGGAGATCCTCACAGGTGGAAGGCCAGAGCAGCTTGATGTAATGGTAGGACAGACACTTGGATGGCGGTGCCACAGTGATTTCGCTCTTCTCTCTTAGGGACAGAGCCAGGTATTACTCCCATGATTCGGGGAGGGGGGGAGGTCCTGATTATGACAAGCCAGTTATGACGGCCCCAGCCCCGTGCCAACGACTGGGTTAGGGGTGGGCGTGTGGCTGAGTTCAGGCCAGTGGCACCCCAGTGAGTCTTCTGGGAGGCTTCCTGGGAAGGCCTCTTTGCAAGAGATCCGCAGTGCCTCCTCTGCCTCTTCTTGGGCAGGAAGCTTCCATGCTTCCATGCCGCGGGGCATGCGGTGGTGCAGGAGCCCCCTCTCACCCAGAGAAGACCTCACCCGAGGAAGCTAATGTGCCAGAGAGGCAGAGGGCCAGACAGAACCTGGTTCCGTGGAGGTCACAGAACCACTGAATAACCGACCCTCAAGCTGGCCTTCCCTTCCTTGGCACTTCTTGTAATGGGGAGACGATACCTTTTCATTATGGTTCCAGGGGTGTCCAACCTTTTGCCACCTCTGTGCCACACAGGAAGTAGAAGAGTTGTCTTGGACCACATATTAAATACATTGAGACACAGAAATACAAAAAGATCTCATGATGTTTTAAGTAAATTTACGACTCTGTGTTGGGCTGCATTCACAGACATCCCAGGCTGCATGCGGCCCCACGGGCTGTGGGTTGGACACCCCTGGAAGGCCATTTTCCGTGTCATTTTTTCCCTACAAAAATATCCCGATTCAAAAAGAAACTATATGAAAACTGGATATTCACTAGAACTTTTGGGTTTAATTTACATGGAAGCCCTACAACAGCAGAGATTTTCAATGTTTTGTTCTCTGTGATATAACATTTATAACCCGACATAAACATAGCAATCAATTTCTGAATGATTAACATTTTCCTTTAAACCCTAATTATCTACATTTGACCATTTATTTTTTTCCTTATGAAATAAATCCCCTTAAATCTACCATAAATACATTATGCATGCTGTTGAGATATATTTTTAAAAAGTAATTACTGTACATATTATAAATATTATAGCAAACAAGTAATGATAATTATTTTCACATTTTTAATAACAGCTTTCCAAACTGGCCATCTGAAAACTAAAACCTCAAAATCTAACTAGAGGCATCATATACAGCAAGTGTTTGGAGCAAAATTAAATGTTAAATGTGATAATAGTGTTTCTCTTGAGACAATGGACATATTCATAGTACTTACTCCAAGAAATATGTTTTTGGAAGAGTCGAACCCAGCTGCGAATATGCGTGCTGTGTATGGCTCACTCCTGTCGCAGACTATCCGGCAGGCGAACCTGGATATGGTGCTTTGTGTGATCTGGGCCTCGTCGCTGTTCTGGCCACCAGAGACCGTGTCCGTGACAACGAAGTCGATGGGGCTTTCGGTTGATCTGCCCACCTGAGTAAATCAAAATACTGGTAACACCCTCAAAAAATGTCACGCCACCAACTTCGCTCAAGTAGAATGAGCGTTCAGGATCCCTTTAACATTCCTTATCTCTGCTTCGAAGGTCAAAATTTAATGAAAACTTCAGTTCTCCTTTTCTTTTTTCAACTAAGGGAGATGTTACGGTATAACCGACCATCCAACATTAAATATTAGAAGAAAAGCTCAACTTTCTATTCTGGAAGAAGAGATCTTACTCCAAACAGAATGCATCTCTTGGATCAGGAAGGACATGGTGAATCATTGTGTGTGTGTGTATTTACAGGTGGAAAAGAGCAAAGTTTTAAAGGAAGCCAACAAATGAAGGAAGTCTTGCCCCCACCCTTGTCCACTCCGGGAACTGGTTTTGCCCTCTGTGCTGACCCCCCAGGGACTCACAGCACAGAGCAGGAGTAGCCCTAACCCAGACGTGGAGATCAAACACCTGTCACCGTTCCTTGGTGTGGCCAAGATGGAGAGAGACGGCTATACAAGTCGGCCTGAAGTCCAGGTGCAGTCCAATGAAATATTTAAAAAGCTGCTCTTAACAGTTCAACCAACTTTGGAGTTTTAAAAACTCTCTTGGGAAACCCTAAGAAGTTGCCAATAATATTATATTGGCTTACTTTCCTTGATAAGTTAAAATGCTGCCAGAAAGAAATGTATTTCCTTGGGCAGATCTCACAGTTCTAACAAAGCTTTTCATAATCAACAAATCCAATAAAATGAGGACTGCTCTGTCTTCTGAACGGGGAGAAGTAAAGAATTTGTTTACAGATAAGGAAAACTGAAGACGAAATAGCAAAATGTTTATGTAATCATGTTCTATGAATCTCTAACTGGAAAATGATGATAGATGTTATAGTGTTATAGATGCCAAAGAGACTTGACTTAAAATCAGTTATTGTATGTAAATGCGTCCTTTCTCCCCAAACAGACTGATGTTCTAACAGCAGTGACTTTGATTCTGAGCGGCCAATGGGAGGAACACCGATGTGTGCATGTAACGTCGCCAAAAGTCAATTTGCCAGGTATCTTCACCCTGCTCTCAAAATTCTATCTAAAATATAAGCAACATTAACATACTTTTACTCCAAATGAGTGAAAGGGAAAACTATTAATATATGGTGCATAATTTAGCTCTGCTTGCTTCCTGGAACAACATTAAATTTGTTTTGTAAATCTCACATATACATTCTCATGCACAGACTATTTCAAACCAACCAACAACAGACATCTATTTTCTATTGTTCTTTTACCAACCTTAATTTCTTGTCCTAATGAAATGTGCCTGGAATAAACTAAACCACTGGGTTCACTGCAACTCATCAACTTAGGTAGATACATACTGCCTGAATGTATGCATGTCAGGTTTGGAAAACCGTATTGGTTAAAAAATGCAACATACAATGTAAATTAGAGATATTATGAAATCAAATCACCGTACAATTCATCTTTCTACAGTGGCAGAATCTTCTTTCCGCCACATTCATTTAAAAGCTGGATATGTAACTCAGAGGCTCTGACTCAGACTGCTCTAAGTATTTTTTAAAATTCTTTTTAAAAAGCTATTCTCTTAGCTACTTTCAAGTATATAATCGGCATTACTGACTATAAGCACCATGCCATGCATTCAATTCCCAGAACTTACTCATCTTACATCTGGAAGTTTGTACTGCTGACCGGAACTTCCTCACTCCCCACACCCCCACCCCGCCAGCCCCTGCCAACCACCAATTTTAGTCTCTGTTTCCACGACTTCGATAGTTTAGATTCCACATATAAGTGATATGTCTTTCTCTGACTTATCTTACTTAAAAAGCTTTTATGCAATGAAAGAAGGAACAAATACTTATTTAAAACATTTCATAAAATAGGCAAATATAAAGGAGAAAACAAAGACTACTCCAAACTCAGAAACAAACCCATCCTGAACCTCTATCCCAGTGAAGCTAAGGAGTGAAATGTGACATTCTAAAGCTGCCTGGTCACCTCACCAAACCCAGAGTTCTCATGACACAGTCTCTGACCCAAGTCCCATCAGCTCCATGGAAGACGGTAACACCTTCCGAAGCTCTGTTACAAGCTCAAAGCTAAAACCTAAAAGCTAAAACCTCGCTCTCGTAAAATGTCACACAACTGCTCCTTGTCTACAGAGATTATTCTCTTTGAGAAAGGCCATCCTGATTTCATCCCAGTGCATCAAATTAATGTCTTGATAGATTAACTGAAATTGATGTAAAACAGGACATTTTATTCCAACTGGAACACACTGCTAGGATCAATTATTTCAAGTCATGATACTTATCTGAGTGGTCATGTAGGATTTGTCTGTCAATGCACTTCCATTTCCCCTGCAGGATGCTAGTATAATTTTATACTGCAGGTCACAAACTTCATGGTGCTTTTGCCAGGAAAAAAATCGAGCCCCTTTCCTACGGAAAACCCACCGCCCAACTGTGGAAATCTTGGATCCTGTTGTTTCTTTTGTTTACTGGATCAATTCTACATTATTTTAAGGACAGTCATGTGGACAGGCCAAGACGTTTCTGAATATCATCTGATATTCATACAGTGCTGACATGCACACAGCAGCCACAGGGAGACTTTTAACCCCTACTATGGGCAGTCATGAACGCAACATCACTTGGCACTTCCAATTCTAATCTATGTGAGAAAAGTTTAGGTTTGCCTGGTTGTCGGCAGAAGTCGGCACAGGTAAGAGTATACGGGAGCACCTGAAAGGGCCTCCCTCACATTGCCCAGCCTAATCCTTCCCTGTCCCTGCACCCATAACATTACCTGGCTTTCCTTATGACAAGGATGACATATTGCTGCTGCTACTCAGGACCAATCTCCCTACTGATGCCTGAGATCCCAATATTCTCCACTCCCTGAGGATTTTGCTGATATTGGTTCCTGCGCCGGCCCCTACCCTAGACCAACCATTTCTCTCTTGAGGCTGGATCACGTCATCAGCTATCAAACATTCTGGAGCTTCTCAAACTGAGCCTCTGTGGAGTTAAGAACTAGTTTTGTTTTGTGTTTAAATTTCAACCTGCCTGTGATACCTTTAAAGAATGCAATGAAAATGAGTGTTAGGAAAATGATCACCTGTTTCAACGTGTAAGACTGAAGTGCTATAGTTTACAATTTCCTGCCATCTCACTCTGTATCATTAACAGCCATTTCCAAGGGCAGAGTACTGTTCCAGCAGTTCTGCTCTAGACCAGTCCCTCATCTTTAAAACTCTTCCCTTTGCCTGTAAGCAGCCCTCAAGCTAATGCCTCATTTCTCTGACTCACTTAACAGTAATACTTCTGGAAAAACCTGTCACCAGTTACTACCTTCCTCATCCCCTTAACGTCTCTCCTCAACCCACGCCAGCTGCACTCTCCCCCCATGATCTACTGAAACCACTCTTGGTGAGGTCTCCAGGCCTTATAGTCAGCCAGCATATCCTGGCCCATTTGTACCTGGTATTCAAATAATGAAACCCTTTCAGCCTTAGTTGGTCAACAGCTCCCATCTCTTCTCTCTGTTCTCTCCCTAGGTAATCTCATTAAATCAAACTTATTAGGCACAGAGCCCTGATCTCTCACCGCACCTTCAGACTAGCACGCCCAATCTCCATGTGGATGCCCCAGGGGCACCTCGACATGTTCCAAATAGAACCCAGATCCCTTTCAAATGCTAGATTGGTGCCAGTGACTGACATCCAATTTGCTCAAGCTAAAAATCAATACCCAAGAATTATTCCTGATTCTTTCTTCCACACCCACATTTAACCTTGTGGCAATCCTGTCAACTCTACCTTGAAAACACATCTTTCCCCACCTTAGCTCAGTTACCAGCAGCTCTCACTTGGATTGCATGCCTTAGCCTCCAAACTGGTCTTCTAGTTTCCCACTGGCCCCCAACCTTCTTCTCTACTGACAGTAGTTGGAGACATCTTTTAGAAACATAAATCAGGTTATACCTCTCTTTTTGCTCAAAATCCTCCAACGGCTTCTTCCAAACTGCTAGAATAAAACCCAAGATCTTTACTTGGGCCTAGCTCTCCTGGCCTCTGTCTACCTTGCTAAGGTCCTCTCTCATTTCATTTCCCTTTGCCTTCACTCTGCTCCTGCCTCGCGTGGCCTTGGCATCTGCCTGGAATGCCTGCTCACTGCGGTCTGTCTGCCTTCTCTACAGCGCAGACTCGGTGGGAGGGGAGCCTCAGCTGTCTGTGGACAGGAACTAGGAGCGGGCACTCGGGCAATGAAAGTGGTGAACGGAGGGTTAAGAGAGTGAGCTTGACTGCTGTGAGAAACACACACACGTTTTAAGAAATTATTGGAAAAATGTTGATAACCTTAAACATTTTTCTCAACTATGTAGCCGCTAATGTTACTATCTAAAACTACTTATAAGCCAACTAAACTGAATACCAAGCAAACAAAACCTAAAAAGAAAAACGTAAGTTGCTGCAGCACCCAGGTTGACACTTATGAAACTAAGAATCTGAGAGGGACCGGCCACTTCCCTTCCCCTCACGGTCAGAGCATACTGGCCCTCATCCTACGGGGACTCTCCAACCTGTTTCACCTCTTCCTTTGATTGCTTTCACAAACTATTTTCTTCTTTAGCTTTTACTTTACTTACTCTTTTCTTTTCCTCTCTTTATCCTTGTTCAACAAGTACAAAGTCTCAGTTACACTAGACAGGTACCAGCAAGTTCTAGAGATCTGCTGACAACATCGTGTCTACAGTTCAAAATACTGTACCGTGCACTTAAAATTTTTTCAAGAGGGTAAACATGTTAAATGTTCAATCACAATAAAAAATAGTAATAGGAGCTGAAAAAAACCCAGCTAAGTCTTTAATTCTTTCTGCACTGGCAGTGATGAGAAGGAAAAAGTAAAGAATTAAGAAGAATGCGATTGTACAGCAGTGACAAATGCACACTTTCTGTCACTTCGGGAATAACAGTGCACTGGCACCTGCTGTCACAGTGACTGGCTGAGTCGAAGTGGTAAGACGTGCACCACCAACAAATGGAAACCTTCTTAAAAAAGCATTTTAAAGTACACGGGGGTGGGTAAAAGTGGGTTTACTGGTGTGAGTACACGAACTGGTTTATTCTCGTATTATCACTTACTTATCACTGCATTACAGGTGTGAACTACTTTTGCCTACCTGTTTTTTTAATGTATACATTTAACACATTGAATTAAAAAATGTGTTTACTATATTTTAAAGCTTTTAATTCACTTTTTTAGTATTGAGAATCTTCTCTCTGTGAAACAGTAAAAAAAATCTTACAAAGGGAGGTTACATCATTTTGTAAAGCATTAAAAAAAGAATTTTTATGAAGTCCCATAGAAATATCAACAGGGAGGTTTTATATACTTATTTAGGAAGAGATTTTATTCTGTAGAATGAGAAGAAAAACCATTTGGAATATTATAAAATGAAACAGGACAAAGAATAAAACCACTTACTATTTTATCTAAATAAGATAAACCTTGCTTTTGCATTCAAACTGGCACCTAAATAACTATGTCTATACCTATGACTATGATAATGGCTCTACCCATCTATAAATAGTTGTTTAGTTTTTTAAATAGCCCACATATTCACGAAGCTCAAAAAACCAAAAAGTGTGGAATACCTTCCTATATTACACCCTCTGCCTAGTCTTCCTCCTCACAAAGGAAAATGCTTTACTTAATTCATATAAGCATTATTTAAACATTTAATTATACTAATTTAATATTTAATGATTAATGCATTAGTTAAATTTAATACTTAATAACATTATTTACTTTATTAACATTCAACATTAAGGTAATCTTCACTGAACATTACTATCAATGGCTCACCATATTTAATAGCATTAACATTTAATTCATTAACTATGTGTGGAATGCTTTCTGTGTCTGCACACAAAGCTGTTTCTTACTGTTTCATAGCCTTGGAGGCCCCAACTGTATGGCTGCCCCCAAATTCGTGGAACTGGTCCCCTACCGAAGGACTTATAGGTTGCAAATTTTTATTATTCAACTATGTTTCAAGCAACGACTTGATAAAAATACCATCTTGCATGTATGTAGGGGAACCTCTGAGGTAAAGCTCTAGGAGGAGAACTTTAGGAGGAGAAGAGCTGGGTCTGAGAGTGAATTTTGTACTTTTCACAGGCATTTCCATTCGCAGCCGCACGGAGGCCACTCCGCCCCACAGCGTGTAGGAGAGTATCTCCCCGCATCTTGGAAAGACACTTTCGGATTTCTGCCCGTCTGGTAAGTAAAAAAATGGCATCTGTGTGATTTGAATTCACAGTTCTGTTTTCATAAGCGAGGCTGAGCATATTTTCTTCTTTGTAAGAGCTATTTATATCCCTTTTTAATGTTAGCTTCTATGATACTTTTTTGACATTTGTTTGAACATTTGATTAATAATTTAACTCTCCATACAAAAATGCAAAGCCTCATGGTTTCCAATTTGTGTTTGGTTGTTTATTTTATTAGCCTGAATTTAAATTTCCTATCATTTTAAAGTACCAAATCTTGGATATAGTAATTCTCTTTTTAAAGTAATGATGATTTTTTCCATTATTACTTTCTTCCTCCTGCTTTCTTTTGATGTATTTCTGGAGTTTTTATTATTTACCGCTAAAACTATTCCTGAACCTGTCCTCTGCTTTCTGTCATTTTTTAAACCAGACTTTAAAAATTTTTTTGAGAGAAATGTTCAGTTCCTTAACTCTCCCTCCCTCCCTCCACCTCTCCTCTCTCCCCCACTCCTTTCAAATAACTGCACTGAAGTTTTTACATGTCTTCTGAATATGCTGTCAGTCACATCTCATGGTTTTGCTATATAATGTTCCCAGTTATTTTTAAAAAGGCCTATAATTGTATTTTGATGTCATCTTTGATTCAAGTGTTATTTAGGAAGTATTTTAAACATGCTGGCTTTTAAAAGTAGCTGGCTATAAAAATATTTACTCTTGTTATTCAAATCTATTTTTATTGCATTGCAATCTGAGAATGTAATCTTCATATCATTTTTTTTGCAGTTTTAGAATTAAGTTTTCTTAGTCTTTCAGAAACCAAACAGAAGTAATCTCTGCATTATCCTCACCTCTTTCCTCTTGAGCATCACCAGAAGCTAATGCTAGAAGTTCTGCTTATATATCAAAACACAAATTGAGGAAATAATGCCCTGAAATTTCCATTAAAAAAAGAAACATGTTACCTGAAACATATCCGTGTCTTTATCATGCGTGTACTCGACCACCACAGTCTGATTCCTCGACAGAGTATATGATATACTGTGCTGACCTTTGCAGCTGATGGCCTAATAATGAAATAAAAATATATAAAAATTCGTTCATGTTTTGTTTCAACAACTTAACCACAGTTCTGTTTGCAGTTAAGAGACATTACTCTACCAGCAAAGCCCACAAGTCGGCATTTTCCTAAAACTCAGAGCCACCCCGGTGCCGCACCCTGCGTTACAGAGCAGCCGTGGCTGCAAGTCTGCTTTTACCAAACGTCCAATCTTAGTCTGAATGACAGTTTACTCAGTTCCATTCAAAGCTACTTCACTAGTTTGCAAGACTTGATTTAATCATATTCCTGGGGTGGGGGTGGGGGAAGCACTTCCTCAATGTCACCTTAACTAAGTGATAGAATTTTTTGATTAACATGATTTACTTAAAATTTTAGGACTTATTTCACACTACAACAGGTAAGTCAGTAACATTTTGTTACGGTATTTTCCCTGTGTAACAGAGATTATAATCACAATAAAAGAATCACTGAAAAAGTTGTAAATGTTCTGTAAGAATTTTCACAGAATATACTTTTCTAGCTATAACCATATATATAGGAGATCCCCTCAAAAACAATATTTATAAAAGATCGTGTATTTAATTGCAATACACCCATCAAGATGTTTTTTCCATTGGTCAAAATGTTTTTCAACTTGTGCATTTTGATGCCTTTAAGTACTTCCACTGTTTTCACCTCTTCCAGTCCTTAAAGGGAAACATTTTGTTTCCCTTTAAGGACTTTTCCCATCTAGGAAACAAACAAACAAAAAAGTTTTTCAGGGTGAGATCAGGTGACTAGAGAGGGTAGGGCATGGGGGTCATGCCATTTTTGGTCAAAAACTGCTGAACATTCAGTGTGGTGTGGGCGAGTGTGCTCCTAAATCACCCATCATGAAATGGGCAAACATGCTGAAAGAGTCTTAAAAAAAAAATCCACTGAAGCCTAACTCAGACTCTCACAACAACACCAGCTGGCACACTGATACAGATGTGTTCCCAGGATCCCCACCTAGTGAGGGGAAGCCTGTATTACAAGGGGCCTGCCCTTCAGGAGATAATTCTGGGTTTTTTGGGTCCCTCCTCATACAGTCTGTTCTATAGCTTATTTAAATATTCTATAAGCAGTTGCTTAACCCAGATATTTACTGATCTGATAAATAAAGTAGCTAAGTTAGTTTTATCCTTTTAATTCTTAGATTAAAGTTAAGTCTTTTTCAAAAAACAAATCTAAAAACCAACAATACATAATGAAATCTTTGAACACACATCTTAAATTGCGGTTACATACTTTTAAATTTCCCAATTAACAATGAAGTTTATACTTAAATTATACTCCAAATTATTTCAATTATATTTTATCCATTCTGCTTCCACGTATCTTCATTTCTACTCTTTCATATTAACTATAGTAAAACTTTAATAAGCCTACCTATTAAGCACTTACTGAAGATCACACTGTATAAAGAGCAAGAACGCACTTGGAAGTGGACGGACACACACAGCACGTTGATGAAAATGTCTGAACACGTACGTCTGGCTCACACAATTGCTCAGAGTCATAAACAGTGCGGCAGCCCAAAGCAGGTGTGAAGCAGCCGGGGCTCAGCTCATGGTTATTCAGCCACGTGCCCCGAGAAACTGAACGGCGGAACTGGTATTTTGTTGTGCCTGCTTCGTTAAGGTACCACAAGTATTAGAAATAATATTTTATATGTTTAATGTGGTCAGGAATCTAAAAAATGCTTCTTATACTAAACTTTAGCAACAAACATAATCTTTGATTTTTATTGGCATGAGTGAGATAAATTCAATAGTAGTGATAAAATGATATTTTTGAAAGCCAAATTAATATACAACTATTTCCAATTTAAGATGAGTGGATGTTTATCTTTACAGTTAAGTGAAAAAAAAAAAAACCATGACCTTAAAAAGAGAAACTTACAATCTTTTTATGATCTCAAAATTATTATAAACTGTGTATGCTCCATAGCATGCTGGTAGTTTTAACATTTAAACAGGTCTTTCAGATCTGCTGGGGCACCAACGTCCGACCACCCGCTCTGCTCACCCCACGACCTTGCATAGCCCTGGACACACTGCCGCCCCACTGCGCCGCCCTGCAGGCACCAGAAATAGCCCTTTCATAGGTCCTAAGTCGTTACTGGGCCCAATTCTTCAAAGGTGTTTTATTCTAAAATTATTCTTCTGACTCAAACTATTATAAGCCTATGAAACATTAAAAAGTCTACTTATAGAGAAAGTGGCGCCACACCTGGGAACTGCCCACAGCAAAGAGAAGCACAAAGACAGAGGCGGACCGCGGCCCAGCCGGCCCAAAACAAGGAAACAAGTGCAGGGACTCTGGCACTTAGAACACCTGACCCGGGACCCTATGAATATTAAGCCCATTAAGGAATATTTGCAATTTCAAACTTCTGCCAGTTTTTTTTTTTCTTCAATGTGGGTAAACCTGAATCACCAGGGTTAGGAAGGGTGGATACTTAGGGATTAGAAAAAAACACTTTTTCTGAGACTTTTGATTAAGGAAGTCCCAGCCAAGGGACTCCATTCCAGAAGCCTCTAGATTTGGGAAGACTGGGAAATGGGGAAAGCGATTCTGCAGGGAGAAACAAGTCCCAGGAGGTGTGAGAGGCCCTTGGCCAACAGGCCAACAGGCGGTGCACTGCCCTGTATGCAGCAGGGAGTTACTGCCCTGTATGCAGCAGGGAGTTACTGCTGAGCCGGGAGAGGTCTACCCCTGTGCTTGTGCCCAGCGCCCGCCCCCTCACTTATCCCCGGGGCTCAAACAGGCTTGGTGATGAGAGGGCCTGAGAAGCTAGGACTGAGAATTGGAGCAAAAGGTGGCAGTCAGAACCGGACATGCAAGGCCACTGGGGGAACCAAATTCCCCTGGCATGCATTAGGGTTCACATAATCTTGTTGCGGATTAAAGTTTGGGTGGGGCCGGACCTGCACGGTTCGGGGAAGCTAAGAGGAGAGTTTAGGCTTGACATCAGTTTTTACTTCCTTGTGGAAGTATATAAGGCCTTAAGTTTTTAAATTTTGGTTACAAATATAACTTTTTGAATAATACTTTTTTAACATTTAAAACAGGGCTTTCGGAAATACAGCTTGTAGTAAATTAGAGATCACTGATTTGAGTCAATCATTTAGGTGTTATGAAATAAAAATGGCCCCAAGGTACCAAGTTGCTTTGAAATCTGATATTTCTGAAATATCAAGAGAATGGGTAAGGCCTTCTCTTGGCACTTGCTATAATTTAGTTCAAACACAATTACTGTAACATAATGTGACTTTACTATACTAACACAAATTTGGAAATGAAACACTTGAAAGTTACGAGGAAAATCAGCCCCACCAGCTTCCCTGGTAGACAACAGCAATTTTCCATATTCACGTTTCTATTTCGATGAGAAGCCAGGGTTGAAGGCAGACCCGGTCTTGTCTATGCCCCCACCCCCAGCACAGAGGGCGCACTAGCATTTGGCGTATGTCAGATGAATGCATCAACTGGTACAGATACAAGATGAGATTTAGAGATTTAGAGCTTCTTTCCTCAGGTCTTCCCTGCCTCCTCCCACTTTTCACCAGCAAAGGTACCATTAGTGACACTCTCAGCCCCAATTTATTTCATGTGAATTTCATCCAGTTAAAAATATCACAATTGGACAATTACAGATTAGACAATTACAATTACAGATCCCCAGAATAAAGGATTCTAACTTTATCCAGCCTAGAAATTAAAGCACTACTCCACAATCGCACACGCCTGAATCAGGCCCTTTCTGAGCCAGGACACTTTCTTTCCCCAGGAAAAGATCTGCATTTTCTGAGTCTGCAGCAGGGTCTGGGCTCAGCTCAGCTCATCCCAGCCACACTCTGCCATTGGGCGGAACAGCTAGAATAGGCTGTCCTGGCCCAACTTTAAATGTCAGAGAGCTCTCTGAGCCTCCAGACTCTGAAACAAACACGGTGCATGGTGTCTACAGAACTGTCTTCTCGTCAACTCGCAGGTGCACACACACACTTACAAAGGCACATAATGTGGACCAATACCAGAAAGGCAATCCTGCAAGATGCATACTGGGATGGATACACGTCTTCAGGGCAGCCAGAGAGCTTTCATTCAGATTTTTAAAGTACAAGGGAAATAACCAAATCTTTTATTTGTTAAGAAGCAGTGGTGTGAGCTCTCAATCACAAAGTAAAAGAGGGGCGGGGGGGGAACATTGAGAAACTGGTTTCTAGACAATACTAATTTATCATGGTTATGATTTAGGCCATTTAATTCCAGCTCTAAAGGCTTCCAAGTGAGCCCTTAGCCATTATGAAGGGAGAGAAAACGGAATTCATCACTGCGGAAGACGTATCGGTTACCTGCCTAATGCCTTTCTGCCTGTTAGCAGAGCTGGCTTCCCATGAAAAGGCCTGGACACGCCATGGCCGGCTCTCCCACTCTCCTCTGAAGCCAGCACGTGGAAATGTGAGCGTGGAGCTCTTGGGAGTGGGGGACATCAAGAGAGATTCTTTCCTTTCTCCGTCAATAAAATATTAATGTGGTGCTTGGAGCAGAGGTGGTTATCTTGCAACATGAGAGGAAGGTCAAAGACTCTGAGGGAAGCAGGCTGGGCCCTGACATCTTTGAGCTGAACCAAATCTGAAACTACCTGCCCCAGACTTCTTCTCCATGAGAAAAATGAGGGGTTTAGGTTGCCTTTGGTGGGGTATTGTGTTACATGCAGTTGAAAGTATCATTACATTGTTTGGCCCAAACGTTTCTCTCTCCTCCTGGGTTTCCTATTGCAGTGGACAGAACAACTTCATTCCCGGTCACTCCAACTTAGAAGCTCCTCACCGTCTCGGAGCCCTGTCCTGCCACTGTGGGCCATGCACAGGTAGCACTGTCACCACCACGCCTGATCTCAGGCAGAGTCACAGCCAGGCTTGCTAGTTTTAGCTCATGAAGACAAAGATCCAAAACCAAGTGAAGAAATCACATGCA